ACGATAACTATTTCTTCAATCTCTGTAAGTTTTCGAGATTTAGCGATAGAATCTTGTCGTGATAATATTCCATGAGTTCGGTTAAGCAATGTCGTATAAGGTACTTTATAGATCCGCGCAACCTTCTTAACTTTTAAATGTGGGTTTGTACGAAGCGTATTTAACGCAAGAATCATATCAGACTCTGTCCAATGCTTAACCATTTTGTTTGTTAAGAAAAAACGCGCTCTGAATAAGTTTGTGGAGTGCCAAGAAAAAAAATACATTTCGCTTGGGAATCCAACTCGCTTGTGGACTACGTTAGGCGTAAGTATAATAATAATATCCTCTAGTATTAATTTAAATATACAATATACTAGTAAATAAAGTCTACTATATAGTAGGAAGGTATTCGAAGCTGTAATAAGATAGTATTAATTATTAAGTAAATCCTAAGTATTATTATTTAATTAATTCTATAAGTAACTACCTCTAATTACTTTATTATACTAATTAAAGAGTTTTTTAGAAAATAAATTTACTCCTTTATCTAGAATCTAATAGTAGTTATTTAGAACTACCTTATAGTATTCTATAGTACTAATCTTTATATAAAGAACTATAGTACCTTTTCTAAGAATATAAACCTTTCTATCTACTATAGTTATATAACCTATTTATATAATTAAATAGTTAACTTACTAAAGTAGGTTCGGTTATAGTAAACATAAGTATTAGTACTAACGTACTTCATAAGGAGTCCGGATTTTTTACCCCACCATTGACCACCTTACACACTTTCAATCTACATAACTTACCCAATTATTGTTCAAATGTCTCGAAAAGAAGGTCAAATTGCTCTTGCAATCAGTGCATACAATAAGGGTCAATTTACAAGCTTAAAAGCAGCTTGTACAAGGTACGATGCGCCATATTCTACTACTTACGACCGCGTCAAGGGAGCTATTCCACAACGCGATTTCCGACCCCGAAACCAGCAACTCACCGACCTCGAGGAATCAGCACTTATACAATGGATGTTATCAATGGAAGCTAGAGGTCTGCCAGTACGGAAAGATTCGATACGC